AAGTGATTGGACACTGCTTCAAATCTGTAACACAACAAAAGTTCAGCGTATATAAACTGCTTTCAAAATGACCAAAATGAGTTTAAGATGAACCTGGATGGATGTAATATTAAACTTAACTGATTTAGGTTAAACCAGTTTATTGAACTTCTGTCCCAGATTACCTCCAGATTTAAGTTAACTCATAGTCTTCCAGCATCCCAGGATGCTGTGTACCTCCCCGCAGCCCCCACCGCCCTTGCAGGGTGGGTGGGTGGGCTAGCCTTGGCCCAAGCTGTCTGCTCCAGCCAAGTAGGGAGGCATGCTTAAGCATCCCCCAACTTCTGGCCTGGGCCACTGCAGGCATGTGGCTGCATTTCCAGAATCAAAAGTGAATGTCTGTTCACTTGTTTATCAGTTCTATCTATGCAGCTTATATTAACCTGTGAAGACTGAATCGATTCAGCCTTGGGCTTTTTCACTATTTCTACTTAGCCTTGATATTGATGGTAGAGAGACAGCCTGAACAATAAGGTCCTAAAATTTAAAGTTGCCTTACTGCTACTACAGAATATTACAATGAGCCATTAATGTACTGTATTTCAGGGTAGTGATTCTGAACCAGGGTGCCACAGTACCTGAGGGTGCCTTGAGATCCTCTCAAGTGTGCTAGGAGGTGCCACACAATGTTAACTGTGTTAGGTTTAAAACATGGTTCACAAAATAAAACCAGAGATTTCAAAAAGAAATCCATAGTTTTTGGTCCTTCTGAGTTCTTTGCAAAAGAAGAACGACTCTACTTTTATTTTGTAGGTAAAAAAGACAGAAAACTAAGAGCTATCATGTTCCAATGGGTGCCTTGAGTCTATTTAGGGATAGCTTGAGCCTAAAAAGTTTAAGAATCACTGATTTAAGATAATACCGTAGTAGCCAATGGCTCAATGGCAGAATACCATAGTATTTTATGGAGAAGAAAAAAAGTAATATACATGGAGAAGAGGACCCACGTATCACTTAACTGCACCTATTTAGCAAAAAATACTTTCTAGTCCCTTTTCATTATTAAGTCCCCATACCCCTGGCCAAATAGAAGCAGCTCTTCCTTGGTCAGGCTCCTTTACCTATGCATTTCTGCAGTGCCTAGAACAAAGTGATATTTTATTATTTATTTTATGAGAGTTGTTTATTATTTGCATTACCACACTACTGTGTCAGAATTATGACTCAACTGTTCTCATTGCTAAATGAACACATGCAAACTTAGCATATATGCATCTAATAAAAAAATTGTAATGTTAACTACTTTACAGATACAAAATAAAAATATGAATATAAAACTAAACATTTTATTTTTGTTTCCATAAGTGCTTTGAAAGAACTAACAAAAATAAACCCTAGATTTAATAAGAAAGAAAGAAACCACACTGCAGGCTAAGAAAGACAGGGAAAAGTCTACAAACTTCAGCAGTTGCTTTGATAAGCAGGCCTACCTTACACTGCTTTACAACTGGAACGATACCACTTCACAACAGCTGAGACTTTAACCCTATCTCTTTAAATATAATATTGCAGACCTGAGTTTATTTTCATAGCGTTTAAGTCCTTGCCTAAAGAATCTGAAGAACAGTAATCACTAGGCAAGCAGATTTACCACTATTGTGTATAGGGTTATTTGCTAAGCATGGGTTTTAAACAGAAATAGATTATTGACAGTGGTTTTCAAAAAAAGAAAATCAGCTTTTCTACACAGGTAGCAAGCTGATTAGTTTTTAAATGGTACCCTAATAGTGTGTTTGCACAGGGTAGACAGGGAAGAAACTTCTTTGGAGGATAGGATACTGCTTGGAAAGCATCCTTTACCACTGGGTGCATGTGAGAGATTTCCACTCATTCATGGAAACCATATAAACAGCACTGATCAAATCCAGAAGAAGTCTTGTCCAGCTTGGTTAAACTGATAGGCTGTCTGCATAATATGGGAACTCAAAGTAAAAAGCAGGAAAGCAGTATACTACAATTAAAAAAGACATGAACATTTGTATGGGTATTATGGCCTTTTATTTTTAACCAGTTCACCAAAGGTGAGAACAGGAATAGATGCCTAGGGGAGTTGTGGACTCTCTATCACTGGAGGTGTTCAAGAGGAGGTTGGACAACCACTGGTTAGGGACGATCTAGGTGTAGCAATGCCTATGTTTTATCATGGGTAGTTCCCAGGCTTCTGGGCTTTGCTGGTTGCCCCCTCTCTCACTTTCTGCCATGTGTGCCATGGTGTTTTTAAGCCTTCCTCAGAGGCATTGTGTGCGAGCTGCATCCAAGGCTGTGGGTTTTGACTGGGCTATGCCAATGCTCCTGCTGGAACCAAAGCCAGAGGTTCCTATGTAGAGGAACTTGCCTCTGCATTCAGGGTCAGACCTGTCACCATATTTGGGGTTGGGAAGGAATTTTACTCCATGATCACACTGGCATGGACTATGTGGGGGTTTGCCTTCCTCTGTACGGGGCATGGCCCTCTACCTGGGAACTCTTGAGTATATATTGACAACATTTTATAGAAGCAGGACAATAGCTGCCATGGTCCCCCTGTTTTCCTGTGGCAGGTTAGGGTGTTAGGTCTGTGCTGTGTCAGGGTTGAGGGTAGTCTTATGTAGAGTTTAGATTATGGATTTTATAGGAAGATTTGGATAGAGCTGATCCTGCCTTAGGTGGGGAGTTGGATTAGATGACCTCTGGAGGTCCCTTCCAGCCTAATTTCTCTATGAAAGGTAACATTAGAAAAAATCTAAATAATCTGAAGCCCACATTTTCTGAAAGAGGAATCTGAATGCAGTCTCAGCAAATTAATCTATACTCATTTATCTTGCAGTAGTGCAACACTCTCATATTCAATCACAAAATTAGCTAACTTGTTGATGCTAAATGCTTTGCTCATTAGTTTCCTGTCCAATGATGTCAAGTACACACATTTGTCAAAAAAAGGTTAAAATTTTACAAGACACTCGAGCTTATGCTGTACTGTGCACTCATATAAATATAGTTTAGTGGTTACTGCCTATCTTTTTCTGAAACAAAAAGAGTGTTGTTTTTGTTCTTATGGCTTTGTTTGAGAGAAGTTTTTCTCTTATTGAAACATCTGCTCTTCTAGTTTGCACTGTCAGGTGCAGGAGACTCCCAAGCCATAAATACTGAGAGTCATACTGAATATTCAAGTAAACCATGGGCAAATAACAACATTTAGCTCTTATATATAAGTCCTTTTCGCCATTAAGCTCAAAGCACTTTACAAAGAAGTATCATTGTCCCCATATTGCAGGTTGGAACACAGAGGCACACTTATGTTAATGATTTGACCAAGGTCACACAGCACATCATTTGCACTATCAGGAAGAATCCAGGTCTCTTGACACCTATTTCTTAATCCTGTCACTGGATAATGAGACTCCATATATGTAGGTGCACAGGCACTTGAGTGCTTTCCTTTGTACATAGTCCAAGTAGCTAGACTATGAGGTCTGAGCTCTGATGGCGCAGCAGACATCCCTCTCCCAAATACTGTGGAATAGCAGTGGAGCTGCCACAATCTCTTCTTTACACTGGAGTAAAGTTTTGGATATGCATATACCAGAATAGAACTGGAGAAAAGGAACCAAATAGCTGTGTCTGGCTGAGACATTGCCTGGCTTTGTCTTTATTTCCACTGATCAGTTGCAGGTCAGTGCACAGCAAGTGGGCTGCTCCAAAACTGACTATGCTCACTAATGATTCCTTGATTTTTGGGTCCTCTAAATAGTGAAAACGGGGCCTAATTTTTCCCTTTCTGTTGCAAATCAGTGTTTCTATCTGGTACTATTTAGCCATATCTGTGTGTTATATATAACTATCCACCCACCTCCAAATGCAAGGCTCACATGAAGATATTGATACTGTAGCAGTGTTCAGATTCAGAGTTTTAATCTGATTATCTGCCCCTCCCTGAGTTGTTTACAGGTAGAACAGAAACTCAGATAACCCTAGCTAGTAAGCTGTTTCATTAACAAATTAATTGGCTCCCTAAATTCCTTCATTTCAAAAGGCAAGACAAAGCTTGATATTTCATTAACTTAAATAAGGTGTCTATTATAATTTATTTCCTCTGTGTTTGCCGTAGAAGGGTTTTTGTAGGGA